AGGAAGAGGAACCCTGGAGTTGAAATCTGGATCTTACTGCAGAGTGAAACTATGGCTGACTGAATGGCAGAGATATCACTGTTGTGTTGACTGGTAGAACTTGCTGGAAATCCACCCTCTAGGATGCTAAGTAAAGCTGTTGACCAAGGTTTCTCATCATAGATACTCTGCTATAAAACCGCCCAGAGCATTATCTGGGAAAGCCGCTGGCCTCAGGATGCAACAGGTGCCAAGTGCTGGAGAAGCCACCAGAACTACAGGACCAGCGGTAGAGAAGCTGTGAGCACTGTAGGATCCTGGCTCCCAGGAAGCTGTCTGTACTGCAGGAGCCTGCCTAGAGAGCACACCAGAACCAGGTAGAAATGCGCCTTAATCCTGAAAGCTCTCTCCAACACAGTGACTTCTACTGACAAAGTTCAACATCATGCCAGTTGTCAAAGGAAAAATATTTCAATGGTTCATCTTGCTTTTTGCAGAGGCAAGGAAGAGTGGGTTTGGAGCTCAGAGACAATAAATTGATAATTGGCCACATGAGCCCCGGTTCTTTCATATCTTCAGTGAATCCAAAATACCATATATTGAATACTCTTGCTGGTTATTTGATCAACTTTTTAATTTCTAAATAATTTTGGTAGAAAACTTTACCTTAGGAAAAGGACACTCATATTTGCTGCTGCTTAGGGTCCTATGTGGATCCTGTTTCATACCTGTCATTTCAAGCTGCCACCTTCATGAACTATCAGACATGGCTACAGATGTACATTTTGGGTCATTCCAGAGTTTGAACTGTAATCTGCAGTGGGTACTATTAGGCTGCCACAACAGCATGCATCAATTTTTTTTCCTTCCTTCCTCCCTCCTTTCCTCCTAACAAGCAATTTTTGAAAGCCTGCAATGGAATATACATTGGTATAGATAAACAGCATAGTAAAAATCTCTGCCCTCATGGGGAGCCCAAATTTTGATGGAAAAAGTAATAAATAAGTACAATATGTAGAATGTTGGTAATAATTAGGGCTATGCAGTAAATAAAACAGGAAAGGGAGATATAAGTGTTAGGGATGGGGGCAAATTTAAATAAGGTGGTCAGAGAAGATAACATTGGAGCAAAGATCTGCTGTTTCTGGGGGAGAAGTGCTGCAGGTAGAGGGAACGGCAGGTAATGAAATGGGGTCTTGATGATGCATTTTCAAGGAATAGGAAAGAAGCCAGTGTGGTTAAAGCAGAGAGTGAGGGAGAAAGCAGTCAGCACTGAGGTCAGAGAAGTCCCGATGTGTGAAGGCGGGAGGTGGGAGCCGGACTTTGTCCAAACAGTCTCAGTGTTGTCATGGTTGGAACAGTCAGTGGTTTAAGCCCAGAGTAATCCGGCATCTTCTCTTGACTTCAAGTAGTAGGATGTTCTATTGAATTTTCACTGCCAATTTACCCCCAGTAATACCAATTATAAGACCTTACTTTAGCTTTTCATTTCCTGAATTAGCTAGAACAACAAACCTCCATAGACCTTAAACTAATTTATATTCCAAAAGGTATAATTTTGTGTCCTTCTAACAGATTTTTTTTTAAAGCTTCAGCGCATGGTTGTCTATCTTAGTTGTTAGTTTAGTTCTCTATGTGAGCTGCCACCACAGTACAACAACTGACAGACAGGTGGTGTGGTTCCTTGACCGGGAAACGAACTCGGGCTGCAGCAGTGAGAGCTCCGAATCTTAACCACTAGACCACCAGGGCTGGCTCCCAACAGATTTTTTTAACCCAGAATTTGACAGCAGATAAGTGTTAAGTCTTTTAAAACAAGTAACCTCAAAGAAATAAAGATATTAACGGGGAAATAGTAAATTTATTATTTTTATTACAGTTTATCAATATCTAGAAATAATAAAGAGTACATTATAAATATAGATACAAAATAAGTAAGTCAAAGCTTCACTTGAAATAGAAAAGTTTAACTATGTTATGTTTAAAAGTATAATAATGGAAACAAACCATAAATTTGTTAACTGTAAATGCTACTATATGTATTACAAGAATATAAAACATTCAAATCTTCTGGTTTAAATTCTTAAATAACTACAGAGTGACTAAATATGCTCAGGATCCTTGGGCAGAAAAATCAACTATTTAGATTCGCCTGGCAAAACCAAATAATTCATTGTGCTACGTTTGTTACTTTAAAATGTATTATAGTTTTGCTTATGAAGGTATTCATTCATTGAGTTAATTCACTAGGTAACATTATAAAACAATACTCTGATTTATACTTGCTACATTCAAGACTATTTGGAAAAACTACTTTGAGGGATACTTTCTATATATATTTGAACCATGTGAGTTTCTAATAATCACACTGACAAGTTCAAGAGGTTTCCCCATCACCAGTGAAATTACCAATCAGAATCAAAGTAGGTTCCCCAAGTCACATGTAAAAAACAAAAATTCCAAGTGCTATAGTCATACATTTCAATCAAGGTTCGGTAGAGAAGAAGGGATGCAAACGTAAAACTGCAATAACAATTTTAAATTCTATACTCCATTTCTTCTGAAATCTTTGTCTTTAAATCAGTATAATGGTCTAAATTTTTCCCAGAAGAATCTAAGAAAAATATTTCTTTGGTTTTCCAAAAATCTAAATACTTCTTGGGTTTTCAATTCGAATTATATATAATCATAAACCTTTATTAAAACATAAAGTTAGCAAAACATTTAAAAAACATTAACCTTAAATAAGTAGAATTTTATCATATGTTCCAAAACCTTTGTTCTGCTTATCTTTTTCAGGTTGCTAAGAAGGCTCTTTATTTGTTTCCAATGTTTAAAAACAAGTAATATTTTCATTTCCTATTCCCTTTAAAAAATGGTAGAAAAATGTGTTTTAAAATACATGCAAAAACTCCTTGAAATATTTTTTCCTCTTCCTCAAAACAGACCTATATTTGGTATACATTGTTTAAAATGTATAATATGTGAGATGGAGGATCATAATGAAAGAGTTTCCTTTTTATAAATAACTAGGTATGACATAGTGACTTATATCCATGGGAAGAGCAATAAACCTACTATATAATATATATGACCTATTGTACATAGTACCTCACACAGTACTCCTAATTTAAAAGACTGAATTACATTCACTGATCCATTTTAGATACAGCAAACTACTACCATTTAAGATAAAACAAAACTGATGCTCAAAGCACTTCTGTAGCTGATACAGAAGATATGTGTTTGCACCATAACCAGATAACTACAGAAAACTACTAAGCACACAAACTACAGACATAAATAATATACTATCCATTATGAATGGGTTCTACTCAAGGTTCATGTCACAACACTTAAAAGCTGAAAACTAAACTGCACCTCGCCAAATAAACCATGTTTAAATAAATGCTTTCACGTGAATGGAAAAGTTTCACCTAGCAGACCCTCAGCAATACTGACCATAAAGACAACATTATACATCAGTCTTATATTTAAGAGGATTCTGTCTCCATGGGTGGCTTCAAACAGCTCACTGTAGGTTGATTACATTTATGTTGCTTCTCAACAGAAGCAAAGTTCACAGTTTTGCATTTGATGGCACCTTTCAGACTATAAGCAATCTCGAAACATAATTTGTATTTATCACTTATACTTTTTGCTCATGACAGCATAAGAAAGCCAGCCTTCTCAAAGGCACAGATGTGCTCAATGGGCACTTTCCAACTTACGTATAGGAATATGCTTGCTCTCTATAATGTGTATTTAAAGAGAGCTCAGGACTTTGTCAATAAAACCTAAATGGCAATGATATTGTCTAAGTCATGAGAGGCTACTTGAAAGCTATTAAATGAATTCTATCTTAATTACCATAATTAATTTTAAGTACATTTTATTCTGAATAATTCAAAGAATATCTTTAAGCGAATTTATTTATTTATTTATTAAAGATTGGCACCTATTCTAACATCTGTTGCCAATCTTCTTTTTTTCTTCTTCTTCTCCTCCTCAAAGCCCCCCCAGTAAGTAGTTGTATATTCTAGCTGTAGGTCCTTCTGGTTGTGCTATGTGGGATGCCACCTCAGCATGGCCTGACGAGTGGTGCCATATCCGCGCCCAAGATCTGAACCAGCAAAACCCAGGGCCGCCAAAGCAGAGCGCTCAAACTTAATCATTCAGCCACGGGGCTGACCCCTAAGCAAATTTATAATGTACAGAATTCAGCCTTGCCAATATGGAGACAATGAAAAAAAAAAAAGAAATGATTCAAAGTCTCTGGCTGGAAATAAAACAGCAAATTATGTTAGGCTTCCTAACAATGTATGTCAAATTTCCTACAAAACCATAAGTCTTCTTTCCTTAAAAATGTCCTCTAGTCGAATACCAAACTAGAAAACAGATCATTGAACAAATCCCATCTAAAAAATGAACTTTCAGTGTAAAACAGATCCAAGAAGACCAAAAATTATGACATGGGACTCAAAAACAGAATGCTAGGGACCCAGGATTAAAAAAAACAGCCCAGGTCACCTAATTAAAGAACCATAAGCTCACAATAACGTAAGAGAGAACATGTATGCAAAAATTTTAAAAATAAAAAATAAATGCAAGCGATAGAATTAAAGTAAAAATAAAAATGAAAAGTGGGTAAGTTTTCATAAAAGGACAAAAATTTTGTGAATATTGTAACCACTATATAGATATTGTGTAAACCTCCAGATTTTGGTTACCTCTCTTGGGAAGTTTAAGGTATTCGTTTTTAATCTTAAATTCTTTACAAAGAAATTTACTTCCCTCTGAAACAGTACGTCAAATAGCACTTCAAGTTTTTTCCTTCATGGAAACAGTTGCTGGAATATAAAAATAGCAAAAGTTTCAATCAACTGATTTTTCCATGCTCTAATACGGATTTTAAATTTAAACCTTTTCCTTCTACAGAAGTCAATTATTGGTAATACACTGTTATTTTCCCTTAGCAAATCAAAGAAGCATTTAATCACACACTATAATACCAAAGAAAACTAATATAACTTAAATGTTTATTTATACACTAGCCCAGGACAATCCATTGACTTCCATTTCCACTTGAAAACAGCAAGAGAAAAGGAAGTTTTCACTAGTCTACTTCAAAAAAGTGGAGAGGTGACTGGAGAGGCCAATTCAGAAATTACAGCGGTCCATCATCCACTAAAATGTAACTCACGACCTGTTATCCCCTTCTAATTCCTGTATTTTGTCACATTTATGGCTTTCTTTGCCCTCTTGATATGTACGAAGCTGCTCCATGAAGCCAGCATTTGGACATATGGAAGGCCTTGCATTTTTCACCAAAGAAAAAGCACTGGTAAATGAGATTTCATCAGAATTCATCAGGAAGCCTATTACAATTGCAGCAGCCCTGGAAACTCCCGCATTACAATGAACAAGAACCACTCCATCCTGCAATAAAATCCAACAAAAATCTTCATTATTCACTTAAGAAAGGTTATTAAATCAACTGCACATTCTTATACTGCTTAAAATTATAAAATAAAAATCATTTTCTCAATTTATACAATTATCAAAATACAATTCACTGTAAGCAATGAATGGAAAAATCAATCAACCACCAACACCTTTTCTTTCCATCCCCCAGGAATGAAATGCTTTCATGATGTTTTTGGAATTTTGAAATAGTATCTTTTATAAACTGAACCAATCCAGTAAAGAATACATAAAGGCCTGTAACTTAGTAGCTACATGTCTATAAACAAGAGAAAAATCACAGGGAATAAATGTGCAAACATAAATAAAACCATAATTGTAAAACTAAACAGAAAGCCTGAGTCACTCTAGGTCCACAGAGCATTCCCATAAAGAAACTAGTGTCACTGGCTTGGAAATCTATGTGTAAAATGATCAGCAAGGAAACACTGGATATATTTTATTCTGGAGGGAAGTAACTTAAAAAATAGTTAAATTTATGAGGTAGTAAAATGATGACACAAATAGCTCATGACAATGTGAAGTGGAAAAGGTAATCAGACACCAGCATGAGGTCAAGAAATGAAAAACGTTTCAGGTAACTTGCAAGTGATACTTTACAAGTAAAAAGGGACACAGTGCAAGACCAATGCTGATGGGGTAATAGCGCATTAATAATGAACGTGATAGATCTGATGGGGCAGCACTGACGCAGGGTGACCTAGCTCAGCCTTTTAAAAAGTTAATGATCTAAATGAAATGTAGCGAACTGTGAGCACATCCTACAGAATTAAACGTTTTAGTTTCTTCATTTCTTTATTCTTCTTGGATAAAACACAAAAGAAAGATGGGAACAGGGAAAGGGGGAAAAAAACAAAACTTACTCCTGAAAACTCTCTACCCAAAGCATACATTAACAATACCATGTTTATGACTCATTGGATTATTCTACTTTTGCAAGGCAGTTTTCTCAGATTCATAAATCTGTTGCAAAATTCCTTTTCCAGATGTGTTGTATTAAATTTGCAAGTGCATCTCACTTCAAGAAAGCCAAATGACTGACAACAAAATGTGTTAATATTTTGCAAATCCTCATATCAAAAATACAATTTCAATTGTTTTCGACTCATTTCCAAATTTTAACTGTTTCTGTACAAGAAAAGCAAAACGCAAATATTCACTATACATACATGGAACTTTTACCACTTTGTACAATAGCTCATTTTTATGAGACTTAAGACATTTAAAAATCATATTACAGTAACTGATGAAAACTATTAATGAACTTCTTTGAACTCAAAACAAATTAGATATTCCAAAGAAACTTGGAATCATAAGGTTATAAGATACAACCTTCAATGTCATTTTTAATATTTGACTACATACTAGTCATCTCTATTTATGATCCATACATATACCTTTGAAAATGAAACTAGCTTTATTTTCAGTCCTATACACTGTACATCCATTTTTAGCTAGTGTTTAATGTTAGTATTTTCTTCTCTCTTACATTATTTAGGTGACAGCTACCTTTCTGTTGGTTCCTACAACATTTAAATTGACGTATTTATGTTTTATTACTCGTTAGGTATCATGTTGTCCTTGAAAGTATTTCCAGAAAAATTATTGGCTTTAGGTCCCCTTTCCAGAACTCAAAATAGTGACAATGAAATAATTTATAAAGCAATTTTTCTTTTGCACTTGCTGTTGTCCTCCGCCGGAAGACCTTTGCTCCTCTTCTTGGTCCAGCTAACTCTGGCTCCCCTTCCAAGAGGCCTGGCTCTCTCCAAGTGAGATGAGGACAGGAGGGATATCTTAGCCATCTTTTATGCCTACTGCTTAGTGCAATTCTTGGCGCATAGTAGGTAGCCCATAAAAGTGTGCTAAATGAATAAATTCATTTTGTTCTGCATTCCTCAGAGGAAAGTGTTCTCTCAAAAAAGTCAAATCACCATTTTGCTATGGGCGGATAGTTATTATTAATGCTACAGTATTTCCACTTTAATGTTTTCTTTGTTCTCACACTGTTATGAATAGCTTTCCAACTAGATTGCAGGCTCCTTGAGGGCAGCAATAGGTATCCCTCACATCTTCTCAGAATGTGTAATTAATACTTGTTGACAGATTAACTGAGCCAAGTCCAGGTCTTTTTTAAATAAGTAAATGATAAAGGTCTAGAAAAATATATCAAAATTCTAACAGTGGTTATGTCTAAGTGGTGAGAGTAGGGTGATCTTAATTTTTATTTATCTGTATTTTCTAATTTTTCTATAGTGAACATGGATTACTTATATCATGTTTTTAAAACCATATCTTATAAAATAAATAATATACATAGAATATCAAATAGTCATTTTCATACTAACAGGCAAAACCTTTTGCACATAAAAAGAGAGGCCAAGTAAATTTAGCTCCTAAAAGAACTCCTGAGGCTATAGAAGTTACCTTACTATTTTCCTTTCATGTGTATTTCTGTCCCGTTGGGCATAAACCTGACAAATGATGCATGAGACAGAGATAGAGGAAGGACAGAGAAACCAAACAGAGTTGTATAAGTACAGAGGGAAATGAAGACAGATGTGGGAAAATGGAAGACATTCCATTTGGTAGCTGTATGTAAAAAGATGAAAACAACAAACTAGAGCCTAAAAGGTAGTTTTGAAATAAGCAATTCACTGAGTAATTAGATTTAACAACAGTTGCGTATACAATAGACAAAGTCATGAAGATATCTCTTCTAGAAAAAATGAAGAAAATTCATGAAGTCTATTGCTAAAACTAAATATGTATTAATCTAAACAAGAAAGAGTCTTCAGGACAAGGAATTATTGGCTGAGGTTAGGGTCCCAGTATAAAACACACAGCTTGAGAAATTAGAACACATTGTGGAATTCTAATACATCTTGCAGCAGAAACACTTTATGCACCTTCTCAGATTCTCTTCGTGCCATCATCACATGGTCACTCAGCTTGCTCCACCCCGGCTGCCACCTCTGGCCAGCTGCTCTCCTTAGGCCTACTGAGTTTTGTTTGCTTAAGAAGGCCTGACTCTTCCCTGTGGTGACCTCTGCATAGAAGGTTCACCCTGAGTTCTGGATTCTCTTGTTGCTTCTGCACCTGGATAGAAAGTCACACCCAGGGCATTGGGTTAGTCTTCAAAGTGGCTGCTAAAGGAGTGGAGTGTTGTAATCTGGAATTGTGGGGTTAGTTACCTCCTCCATGGGTAAACTTTGACCAATGGGAAGTAGGAGCTGACAGAGAGCCAGGCAGATAAATTCTCTCTCTCCTATCCCTCCCAAAGTCTATATTGAGGCAGTTTCTTTGTACTCCCTGCCCAGAGATGTCTTAGGTGGCAGAGCAGGTGTACCTGCTGAGCACCCAGCTATTTCACAGTCAGCCCATTGTAAAGTTGTGCTCAGCAGGTGAACACATCATTTTGCATTGCTTCTCAGACTTCTCTGAATCACTTCTCTTTCTTCTCACTCTCACTGCCTAGGGATTGCATCTCTCAAATGAAGCATCGGCTCTTAATCCTTAATTCAGGCTTCATTTTTTAGGAAACCCAAGTTAAGAACCATTTTAATTAACTATTACCCTTTCCACTTTTTACTAGCAACATGTATATATCTTCTAATATTAATATGAATATGGATGATGTCTACATTTTTCCTTTACCATCTAAGGTATATTCTATATCTCCTTAGAGAAGCGGCTAACACAGAAACTTTATCATTTTTATTTTTAACACTATTAACTGGCACAATGAAATGTTACAATCTAGAGCCTATAAAACTTTTCACAACAGAACAGAGTGGCCAATATTAGGCTTTGTTTTAGAAAACCTCTTCCTTTTCTTTCATCCAAATATCTGCTAATAAATAAAGTTGAACAGTAGGGTTGAATACTTTTATATTTTCCTGGTAATCTACAGGAAGACACCCAGAACAGTGCTGAGCACATAAGGCACTCAATAAATATTACTAAATGGAAGGAAGGAAGGGAGAATGAAAGAGAAGGAGAGCAGGTAGAAGGGAGATCATCAGACAGAATTCATTTAAGCTGGATTCCAATCTTAACCATCATTAACTGTTAGGTGCACCAGGAGAGTTAACTTCTTTCTGTAAGCGCTTCTACAGTCCCATCCATTTATCCCACATAAATTCTGTAAGAATTATACACTACTAAAAGTGATGTCATTTCAAGGTATAATTATTGGTAATAGCCAACCTAGAAGCCCTGCCAGTCAGAGTGCTGGCTCGAATCCAATACCAAGATTGAAGTATTATATTATCTGTTGGTCCTCTAAAGTCAGAGACCCAATGGACAGCTTCTGATCAGCACTTTCATCCAATCTCAGTAAAGCAACACGTTTAGACCTTAGAGGGCCCTAAAATTCCACTGTCAAAAATGCTTAGATTCACAATCCCCACCTCAGCCATGAAAATGAATGCATATTAATCCTCATAAATACACTAACAGGACTGGAGCAGTCTTATTGCAAGATAATCAGATGGAGTATGACATGTGGTCAGAGGGCAGATGGTCACAAACTGTCAAAGGAAATCTAAGTGCATATATTCACAGGAAAATTCCGTAAGTGGAGAATTTTATCCCCTAAGATTTCTCAGGAAGGCCTAGGAAGATGAGAAACTGAATTAATGTTAAAAGTAAATATGACATTGAGAAAAGAGCAATTACATAACTAAATAATTGTAGGGAATAACGAAATATTACTGGAGGGGAAATTTCCTAGTGGTTCTTTATATATTCTTTACAAAAAGAATAAAGATTGGGTAATGGACCCATACTTTTAAATTTCTCCTTTTGAAGAACTGCAGATCAAAACAATACTTACCTTCATTTTCACTTGTTCAATAAATTCGAAACATTCTGGAAAATAAGACAGGATATTGGTTTCAGGCAGATCCAATATAGAAATGCTCTTATATATAAAGTCACTGAGGAAAGCATTTTCAACTCCATATGCAACATTGAGAATATGAGTCACCTTAAAGAACAAAAAAAGGAGATGATTTTTAAAAATTCCCATGAATTAGGTTAATTAAAAAGAAACTAGGATGTTGAGATCTGTAACAAGAATAACAAAAAATTTAAGTATGACTCATTTGAATGATACTTCCTCCAGGAAGCCTTCTCTGACTGCCTCATCCCTCACCAGAAGTGCTGTTTCTATATACTCTCATAGCCCCCTATACTTGTCCTATTACATCCCCTATCACTGAGAGATTATTTGTCTCCTGCACTGTGCTATAAACTCCATGAGGGTAGGGACCAGGTTTAGCTTACTCACCAGTATAAGTAAGCATTGTGAGTGAGCTTAGCACAGAAAATGCTTAAAATATTTGTTAAATAGAGTCCAGCCTGGTGGTGCAGTGGTTAAGTTCACACATTCTGCTTCAGCGGCCCAGGGTTCACCAGTTCGGATCCTGGGTGTAGATGTACGCACCACTTGTCAAGCCATGCTGTGGCAAGTGTCCCACATATAAAGTAGAGGAAGATGGGCATGGATGTTAGCTCAGGGCCAGTCTTCCTCAGCAAAAAGAAGAAGATTGGTGGCAGATATTAGCTCTGGGCTAATCTTCCTCAAAAAAAAAACACCAAAAAAATCAATCAATGAATCAAAGAACGTCCACATAAAAAGCTTATTAAACAGGGGAAGTGCATCAGTGGCATGCAACTTCCCTTTCAATAATTATTTCCCTATTTTCTTTAAGATTCTTTATTAGTACAACGACTCTCAAGTGTGGCTGCACCTTGGAATCACCTGGTGAGATTTTAAAACTATCAATGCCACAGGGCCTCATATCCAGAGATTCTTATGAGTTAGTCTGGTTGAAAGAGGGGATGGCCATGAAAGATTTTCCTTCAGGTGGTGCACATAAGCAACCTCCTACTTCCTCCTTGCATTTGAGCCTCTTTCCTTGAGTCCACCAAGCATGAGGAAGGAGCCATGTGGAAAGTCCATTAAGGGAATCCAAAGGCTAAATGGATCAGAAAAATGAGTCACTGTTTCTTGTCACGACAATGTTTCTCATTGTATTTATTCTTTTTCTTAGCATGAGTCTTAGGTTTCACCTAATCTCAGTATTCTCACGTATTTCACACATATTTTAGAGTCTTTGTCTAGCCCTGCCTCTCTTGCCCCCACCACCCTCACACGTATGGCTCTGGCAGGGCCCCAGTTCTCCTCTCAGCACAGCTGACTGGATTTGGATGGACACTTGACTTAAGCTAGACTGATCATATTATCTTTAGAAATTTTTTAAATAGGTTTAAAAGACAGCTAAAATGATCCACAACCTTGAGAGCTTTAAGACGGCCATTTTCTATTAAGTGCTCAGAGAAACTGAAAAATTCCTGCTGCCAAGTGAGAAAATTAGAGTCAATGTGCAGAGAGGCCATGGTACCAGTGGGACAGAAGGGTTAGCTTGGATAGCCATCCATTCTCTGGTATGGCCACTCTCTGCCCTCGTTCCAGAGATCGCCCTGTACCAGCGTACACATTCTTCTTCCTTATTTAGAAGGTTCATGTTTCCATGGTTCAAAACTAAAAGAGGACTAAGACACTCATGGAGCAAGGCCTCATGAAGAAGGAGCCATAGGCCATTTCCTACCCTAACTGCCTTGTGAAAGAAAGACAAGAGAAAAAACCTCAAATGTCTACTCAGGAGAGACTCTGAGAGGAGATGGGAGAAACTAGAAAGAAGAGAAGAACCTCGTTAGGAGATTAAAGTGTGAAAAGTCTTTCTGCTTTCCCCAGTGAAGTCTTACCTGACTATGTCAAGTCACTTTCTCACTCCCAGGATTATATGATTCTGTCCTTAATTACGTGATATCCTCCAATGTCTTATAATATTGATGTATTTGCCTTGTCTTCACAACCATTTTCTAGATTTCCAAAGACCAGGAATATATGTGTATTCTGACCTCTAACAGAATATATATACACACACACATCCTGTGATATACAGCGAAGATATATAGGGTAATGAGATAGATATCTCTCATTACAGGATTATGGAGAAGACCAAATAAGAATCTTGGTACAACATGTAAAAAGGTAAAAGTGCTTTACAAATACTGTGGATTACTGAACTACCCAATGCCTGGGTAGTTCAGCTATTTGGAAATGTAATTTATGTATGTATTGATTGAATGGTCCTGATTGAAAAGAACTGTTCTGAATCACAGGTAGTGTTGGCGCTGGGGACTCAGCCTAAAACCCTTCTAGTAATCAAGCATACTTCCAAATGTAGTTATAGAGGTCCTAACGATGGCTGTCCTTGGGATGCCCTTCATAATGGGGATAATAAAAAGAGCCCCTTTATTTTTTTTTAATACATTTTGAAGTCCTTATCTTTTATTTTTTTTTTTGAGGAGGATTAGCCCTGAGCTAACTGCTGCCAATCCTCCTCTTTTTGCTGAGGAAGACTAGCCCTGAGCTAACATCCGTGCCCATCATCCTCTACTTTATATGTGGGACGCCTACCACAGCATGGCGTGCCAAGCAGTGCCATGTCCGCACCCGGGATCCGAACCAGCGAACCCGGGCCGCCGAAGCAGACCGTGAGCGCTTAACTGCTGTGCCACCAGGCCGGCCCCAGCCCCTTTATTGAATGCTTAGTATGTGCTAGGTATACAGGTTATCTCACTTAATCCTCACATTTAGGCATTATTATTTCTATTTTTAATAAAACTTTATTTTTTGAATTGGCTCAAAAATAAAAAATTATAAAAAGAAACATTAAGAAGTCTTGCTCTCACACTGTCCCTCTCTACTCCAGTATCTCCCACCCTAACAGTAACCAGCTTTGTTGGTTTCTTGTACATTCTCTCAGAGTATCTTTATGCAGATATTTTATTTACTCCCTTTCTTACATAAAGGCAACACTTTGGGGTTTTTCCCCCATTGAAATATGTCCTGGAGATCTTTTCATATCAGTATGTAGAGGCCCTTTGTGTGTGTTCTTTTTTATAGTTATATAGTATTCTATGGTGTGTGTGCTACTGTTCACGTAACTAAGTCCCCATTGATGGACACATGCTTTTTTTCAATAATTTGCTATTAAACACAATGCTGCAATAAATAACTTGGAACATTTTAGGTTACACTTAGTTTTCTATCCCCCATAGTGCTTTATTCTGCACACAACAAGCACTCAATGAGTACCTTATTAATAAAGCAACTATTATTACCCTATCTAAACATTAAAATTAAATTTCTGTAGGAATTTCTACTAGTCACAGCACTTTACTTGAATGCTAGGATATCCCTTTGAAATGTGCCATGCATTTAAATCAATAATTTTGGTTTGCAGCATCCTTAAATTTTTCTAGAAACCCTCTATTCAGCTGCTCAGTTTACCTTTGCCTCTTGTGTACAGGGTCATCTGTGCAGAGCAGAAGGAACTTATAAACAGCTACTAGGCTCACATCACCAGGATGAAACATAATCTGAACTAGTGTAACATAAGAGGGCATAAATAATAACAAGACTTGCCAATGAACAAATTTATCCGTTTTTCTATTTTTCATTTTTACCCTGAGAAATATTAATTTATTAGTGTAAGTGAGACTTTGAAACTTGTTCTATTTATGTAAAAATATTGATCAAAGAGGGTTCCTATTCAGAAATACAGTAATTCTCATATCCTTATGCAATTCCAGGCCATTATCTCTTATTGTCAGCCAGTAATTATTATAACAAAACAAGGAGAGTCCAGTTTAAACACAAATAAGTAAGCTGACAAGTAAACATCAAATTAGTTATCGAATTGGTTAGTAGTTATTTCCTTGGAGAAATTAATGGCAAGTATTTATCACTTAAAATTTTTAGGCTTAATTCAATCAAAACCTTTTCTCAGAACTGTGGGTAACAAGGTCTCCAATCCTCTAGAAGTTAGCTAAATGATAGAGGAGGAGAAAACACATTCACTGATGGTTATTAACACAAAGCAGTGGTATTAAGCACTGTAGGAGAAGAACAAAATGTTCTGGGACCAAAAGGGAGGAAGAGATTACTTGTTTCCCTCCAGAGCCTTCGCATTTGCTAATCTCTCAGCCTGACGTGCTCTTCCCTGATCCAAGTATGGCTGACCCTGTCTTAGGGTCTCAGTTGAAATGTAAGACCCTCAGACAGCCCTAGCCTGACTTGTGCGGCCTCCTGCCACTCCTCCCATTGCCTTGTTTTGATTCTTTCAGAGAATGTATTCTCATCTGAAAGTATCATATTTTAAGAGCAAGGACCTATTGCTTGTTCATTTCTGTATCTCCGGCACCTACAAAAGGGCCTAGCATCCCGTTTACCTCATGGTGACAGGCAGGGCTGCATTCTTTTTGGCTACTCTTTGCCTCTTCCAATTCATATCTTTTCACTGTCCAGTAAAAATCCTTGTTCTTTGAGGTTCATACAAACTGATTATTCCATCTTCTATCCGCTGCGTTCCTCAAGCACCTGGCTGTCAGTTGTCTGAATCCCACCTCAAGTCCTACCATTATCCTGGGTGACATCAATTTCCATTTGGGCTTAACAGTTCCCTGACTACCTCATCTCCAGTGACTTTCACCACCCCTTCACTTCAATCACACTCCTTCACGGCCAATATCCAGAACTGTTCCAACTCTGATGACATTAATTTAGGCATCCCACTCTTTCTCTTTCTAGCTCTTTCATTCAGTTACTCCCACCAGACCTCACAAGAGCCATTGAGTCCTTGATCTTTATATTTTCTTCCTATCTGTCAGCCCCCTCTTGCCTTCACTTCCTTTTCTATTCAGCTTATGGTCCATGGTCCACCCTCTCTGCACCTGTCTGGTAAAAATTCACTCTGTCCCCAGACTGCTAAGCATTGCTGGAGAAAAGTCACAATATTGCCATTCATGCCACCATAAACTCATCAGAGCCAACCTCTCTTGACCCTCAGCAATGCTTAGCTACTCTATTTCCCTAGTCAGCTCTCTCCCTCATTCTCCATATCAGCTCTTTCAAACCTTCCCCACTCTCCTAATAACTTTCAACCCTACCATCTCTTCCTTACTCCCAGCAGATCACATCACTTACTACTTTAGAATAAAAAGAGAAGCCATCACCTAGGAACCCGCACATCTTACCATCAAACTTAACAACCTTGCCTACATGTGTACCCACCCTTTCCGTCTGCCTTCTTATTACAGTGGAAGATGTGTTCCAACATCCTTTATAAGGCTCATTCTGGTACCTGTGTTTGTGGTCATACTGCCTCCTACTTTTTTGGCACCTCCCTCTAGCCACAATTCTTGCTCTCCTGTATTTTCAGTTCCTTCCTCTACCATCAGCCTTAAAACATACTTAGAACTTTCCCATCTCCCTCCTTTGATCTCATCACTTCTGGCTCTTGCCGTTTTCCTCTCTTTTTGTTTTGCTGCCATCATTTCTTCCAATTCTCAATCTTCAGAAATCTGGCTTTTGCCTCCAATTCATATGAAACTGTTCCCACCAAAGTCGCTAACAAATTCTTTGTTGCAAAGTTCAGCGGACCTAATTTAGCACTCATTGTACTTAAACTTCTGGCAGCATCTGACACCAGTGACTCTTTCCTCTTAAAACACTCCTTCTTCTGCTTCCATGACACCACACTTTTTTGACTTCCTACGACCTCCCTTAGTTCCTCCTTTCCTGCTGCAGAGTCTTCTTCCTTTGACAATTTCTTATAGGTTGGTAGCATTCAGGGATCCGTCATAGGCCTCCTTCTCTGCTCATTTTACATCTTTCCCAGGTAGTTTCTTCTACTCCAATGGTTTCAATCACTGTTTATAAGCTGAAGATTCCTAAATCTCTAGTTTTACCTCTCCTGAACTTCAGACCCCATATATCCACACTGTCTACTGAATAACAACCGAGATTATCCACAGCATCTGAAATTTAAAATGTTCAAAACTGACCTCATTCTTTTTCCTCCAAAACCGGCTCTTCCCTATCTCATGGAATGGCACCAATCCTACTTACTGACTCAAGAAAGCTGGATATCAGCTTTGTCTCCTTCTCCCTCAACCTTGCCCTCCCCTCCAATCCTGACCTAGGTAGTCGATCACTAAATTGTGAGAATTCTACCCTCCTACAAAAACCCTCCAATCCATCCATTTCTCTCTACTCCCACTGAATACTAATCTAAACCACCATCATCTTTTTTAGATTACTGCAACAGCTTTATAACTAGTCTCCCCATTTCTAGCTTGAGCAACCCTCTAATGTATTTTCCACACTGCCTCCAACAAGCAACTTTCCAAAAAGCAAATTTGATCCTGTTACATCCCTGGGTAAAACCTTCCAATGGCTTTCCACTGTCATTTGGATCAAGTCCAAACAATTTACACTGGATTACAGGGACTCTCATGACATGGCTCACGCTTCTCTCTCCGGCCTTGTCTCTTGGTACCCTTCTCTCTCACACTTTCTGCTCCAGGGTTACTGAACTTCTTTTCTGTCCCGAAAACCATCAGCCTGTCTTTTGCCTCTGGGCCTTCACATAAACCATTTCTTCTATCTGAACACTTTTCTGTCTATTCCCTCCCTATCTCCTTCAGAGCAAAACTTTAATATTACTTCCTCCAGGACGACTTCTCTGACCTTCCGATCTCAACTCAACCCAACCCAGTATGGGTTAGGGGCATCATCTCCTATGCACTCCTATAGCACCCTGCACTTCCCTATGAAAGCACCTAATACACTATACTGTAGGTGGTTATTTTTCTTTCTCCCTCCCCTGCCCCTCAGATCATAAGGTTCATGTAAACAGGAACCTCTTGCATTCCTCTGACTATAGCAATTCCAAGAGGCTGATACAGTGCTTGACAAAATAGACGGCTAAAACTGTTTTAGTAAATATTGAAGTAAGTAATAAACCACATCAGTTGTATAGGGGAGGGTGGGAGGAAATGGCATTAGGGAAGAAGTGGTATGTGGGTTGGGACTCAAGGAATGGGTAGGTCTTGAACAAGAAGAAAGGAGAGGAAAGTCTGGCCCACAAAGAGAAACTACATAAGCAGGGCAAGAAGACGTGCCTCCAAAGTCAGGTTCATGAGGATACCTGAAGGGAGACTGAGAGAATATAAAACTGGAAAGATGGATTACAAATCCACATATTTGAATTAGGTGCAATAATTTTTGCAGCTTTATTAAAATGATAGCTTAAAATGTTACCAATTAAACTCTAAAATGGACCAATAGTTTTTCTTAAATAAATGTAACAATTAAAATACTTCCTATACATAGTCCCAGACCTGAAGCATTTTTTTTCACCTTGTGCTTTTTCAGTGTATCCAGATCATGAGCAGCATCTTGTGACCCTGTAAGAAATAAATCATATCACCTTGAACACAAAAATAATCATCCTGACTTTTTATCCAATTTTGCAACAATTCTGTCATTCATTTATTTTAAAAAATACAACTTGGGAGGACTTCAGTCTGACTTTCTGAAAGACAATTTGGGAATATTCACCAAAAAATATTCATCTTGTATATACTTTTGGGCTCTGAAATCCCACTTCTAGGAATTTGTCCTAAAAGTCCTGGATGTTGCAAAGATTAGCTATCAGGATGTTCATCATAGTATTGTTTGTAATACAAAAAACAAAACAAGCAAAAAACCCCAAAAGCCCAATAATAGGGGTTGGGTTGAATAAAAGATGGTACAATTATGTAGTGAAATATATACACCCATTAGAAATGAGAAATGTAGAAGAATACATGGCATGGAAATATGTTCTCAATAAATAGGTGATAAAAGCAAGTTACAAAATACCATCACCCATTTCTGTAAAAGCAAAAAATACATGCTTAAAAACGGACAGGAAGTATATAGAAATAAATGTTAGCAGTGGGATTCAGGTGATTTTTTCCTTATTTATGCTCATTTGTATTTTTTATAATGAATATCTAATTCTTTTGTAACTTAAAAAAGGATATTAAAAAAAAGATACCCACAAAATGACTTCATGCCAGCTGGTTTGGGAACACCGAGTAGCTTAGAGCAAACATTGCTGGTCTGTAGAAGTCCACCCACGTTCCATGTACCACTAGGGCTGTATGCATCTACAGTTTCCTCCTGTCAAAGCTGGCTTTCCTGATCTCCCACACTCGGAAGATGACTCTAGTTAATAAGCAAATTCATACAGGAGGATAACTAGTTAAAATAAAGTGAGTTACACAACTGAAAAAGATAGGGCATTTATTATTGAAAGATGTCAAGTATTTTACTTTCCTGAATTAGGGTCCATTTCCATAAACAATGCTATTCTTACCTTACCTATCTGGGAAATCTGCCAGCTTCTATTACATGATTTTAGGTAGCTGAAAAGCCAGCAAGCATGCTGGTTGGCCAATACTCTCTTGGTAATAGGTAGCTCATGGTCTCCTTACTGAGCCTACATTCAACTTTATTCTACTTAAAAGTTAGCCTATCAAAACATTAACATTTGTTAAAAATGGATGATGGATACATAATTGTGTGTTATATTATTGTAATTTTCTATACATTTTAAATACTTCATAATTAAAAAGTAATTTCTCTTTTTCAGTTTTCTGTGGAAAGTTCTAATTATCTTCAGGAAAAAAGATAGGTTCAAATAAGTTAACTGAAATTTGGTGGTTTACTATGCATGTCATCTTTTAAATAATAATTCTACTCTGCCCATTTCTTAAAATAGCAAAAACATGAAACATGCATGAATGAAATTCTTTCCTTTTTTCACCCTAGACCGTCATTATTATATTTATCAAAGCTGGACACTTTGATCATTTCCATTAAACATACACACACACCAAACAGAACAGGTGGATAATATTTTAGAGTTGGCTGTCATATTTTGAAAGTGACTTCCAGAATATGACTATAGTGATACAAATTTAGTGTTCTCGACACGAGAAAAATGCAACTTATATGTTCTGCCATTTCAAACAATAGGAAAATTACATGAGTGTTAATAGTGTGGGGAACAGTTTTAGTCCGCACAAACGGACTTCAGGTCATTGGCTTGTGTTTCAATACTTGAGAGTAGTCAGTTCAAGTTAATTCTCTCTAAATTCTAGCTACAAACATTAGCTTTTCTCCAATTTTAAATGGTTGCTTTATGTTGCAGTCTTGTGTTAAAACTTTTATTGGAAAAACATCATTAAAAGATAAAAACACTGTAAATCATATATTAGGACAATGTGTTATTTAGACCTTTGTTTTGAAAAAGCAGAATGTTATCCTTTTATAAACTCTCTCAATCAAAATTTAAAAACAAATACCAACTTTAAGAATTTGATGATTTTAACAATGGCTATATGAATCTATAATTGTGTTGAAATTCATAGAACTGAACACCAAGTTAATTTTACTGTATGATAACTTTAAAAATAATATAAAAGAAGTTAATGAATAGGAACACAACTAAACAAAGGGGTCTAATAATGATAACAATTTATAGTTATATTTTACATTGACACTTACAAACCACTAATATTTATTATCTTGGCCAATGATTATTATGAAAGTATTACAGATGAGGTGATTGGTTTAGAAAGAATACATGCTACTGGAGTTGGGACTTCTAACAAGTTCAATGTTTTGCAATCATACTATATGTAACGTAAAAAATAGGCTACATGAGATCTCCAGAATCCTTTTTCTATTTTTTTAAGAAATCCTTTTTATGAAAATGCCAAGTATTGTATAAATTCTGATGTAGCATGTCTTAATTTACAAACTGTTATTTTCATCATCATGAAAACAAACCAAAAAACATTATTACATTATTGAAAAGGGAAATAACGGATATTCCAAAGAGAAATGTTTTATTTGAGAAAATTTGTATGAGTAAACATTCATAAGTGGATAGAAATAGGATCATAAATTACTGTGAGGATAAGGTAACATAATATTTGTGAAATCATTTTAAAAATAAAGAGCTATACAAATTTAATGTAGTATCTGCCTCCCATGGTTATTGGGCTTCCTAGATATCAGAAATCCTCTAGAACCTTATAAAGAATGCCAAGCTTTTCACCTAGAATTGAAGAGACGATCTGAAAATGTCAGCAGTTGGGACTTCTTAACAGTATGGATATAACAAATAATAAGTGTGCCTTTTAACTACCCAAGAGAAATGGAATTTTCTACTTTTACAAATCAAGCTGGATTTAAGAAAAGTCCTAGTGATTTTTTCTTGTAAAAATATAATTTGCAAAGCTTAGGATGAAAATGTTCATTGACTATGTTAGATAGTTCAAGGGCCTATGTAAGATTTTTGAAATGCAGAAGCTTGTTTGAATTTATGAGCTAACCAAAAAAGACAGATTATCTTTACAACTCTCCATTTTCTTTATTCCCCACCAAAACCAAAAGTTAATTGGCATGGAGCGCTAGGTGGGAGTGATGTTGCTTTGAAGAGATGAAGGAAGCTCTTTGAAGCAACCTAAAAACAACCCCCATCTCCAGAGAGAAACCTAGTCTGGTCAGTAACAACCCCTGCATCATTCATGTGGAAGAACTTTAGCTGTAACCATCCGCAGGTCCCTCAGGAACAAGGCACTTGTAACTAGGCAGAAAAAGGTCCATCTACCTCTCAGAAGAAAGGAGGTTGTGCCTGATGAAAATATCCCATTTCCTCATTCAGAGAGGAGACCAGATAAGGCCTAGTTTCACAAGTCCCTCCCAGAACTCTCCCAGGATCCTGGGAAGGGTTCCAAAGCCAAACTGAGAACATTTCCTTGATCAGTTCATGCTGCGTAAGTCTAGATAAAAAATAACAAGCAAAGTTCATGAAGACTCTGAGGTGAATGATATTTTAAAGTTCTACTGTAATTACTTAAAACCATTATTACTAAAATGGAAGCCAAATAACTGAAAAATGTGCCTGTACATATTTTCTTTCCTAGACATGGTGTGCAATTCCTGGGTGAACCCTCCAGACCAGCTAAATGACCCACTTAATTTTTCACTGGGCTACAGAAATTAGTTGGAGATTTGTTTTGCTTTTTGGTAAGGAAGACTGGCCCTGAGCTAACATCTGTGGCAATCTTCCTCTATTTTTTGTGTCGGATGCTGCCACAGCATGGCTTGATGAGTGGTGCATAGGTCCGCGCTCGGGATCCAAACCCGCATACCCCATGCTGCCAAAGCAGGAGCATGAGAACTTAACCACTACGCAACTGGGCAGACCCGAGTTGGAGATATTTATTTGGTGAATTTAAAGATAGCTTACGTAACAATTCATATAATACATAATACAATCATAACTCATATACTGCAATTGATTTGTTTCAAAACTTTTCACAACCACGTCAGGACAACCCTAGGAGATAAGCAGATACTGTTAACATCAGTTTTACAGACAGGTTTTTGGAGGACCAGAGAGGATAAATGACTTGCACTGGCTCATCCATTAAGTTCGAGGCAGAGCAGGGCTGAAAATCTGGACTCCCTGAGGCAGGCTATACAAGGATGGAGAGGAGGTGCCAATTAGAGCTGAGCTTGATGCCCAGCTCTGCTATTTACTAGGTGTGTTACTTTGTGAAAGTACTTCACCAATCTTAAATCCAGTTCTCATCTGTAAAATGGAGGTGATAATCTCTACTTCACAGTTTTTTTTTAAAAAGGAGTGAGATGCTGTGTGCACTTTGCATAGTACCTGGCTATTTCTGACTCCCCGTTCAGTGTTCCTTTTACTCAAGAATGGCTTGACTGCATAAATATTGACAAATCATTGATCTTTCCAAGTCTTAATTTCTCTATTCATAAATGAAAAATAATTCAAACCTACTTGAAAACATTGTTGACTTTTTTTTAAGAATACCATGTAATATTCTCGCCAAGCTAACAAGCTTGTACTTTTATAATCTTGCATCGTTTTTCTATTTGTGGATTATGCTTTGTATAGGGAAACAATATTTTCCATAATACAAGAAATCATAATAACATCAGACTCATAGCTATAAAATAAAAGCCCGCCTTCTCCCAAACTCTCACAGCAGGTATGAACAGATGTGGCCATAGAAGGCATGCATTCCATATGGTTTGTAACAGTAAAGCAGGCAAACAAGCACTTGACTATTTCAAGGATTAACTTTTCTACAACTCTAATCCTTGTCACTTGTAGTTTTGCCTAATAAAAGCACTTTTTAAATTTAATTTTTTTAAAGGCTATATCCTTTTATAATCCAAGAAAACACAACATCAATGTGTTATCCTATGTGTGTGCTATGTGCTACTAAAATCTATGCTTCTTATGGATATATTGGTGCAGAAACATCCCTAACTAGCTAATGTACGTTCCACATCCAAAAAAGGAAACATTTCAACTTTTCGTCAGGAGAGCTGATAGTACAGACTATTACACATTAGGAGAAAAAAAAGAGAAAGTAACATCGTTAAAAGCACTCAATGACTTAGTGGCAAATAGATATACTCACCCAGGAGCAACCAAGGCTTAATAACGCCAACTTGCAGGTCCAAGCTAACGTCCTGCACATAACCACAGCCACCCCCACTGCTCGCCTCTACTTCTTCCACAACATAAATTCTGGCATCTTTCCATGTTTCTATAATTTTCTTTCCAGATAGCGTGGTCACCCTGGTGCATTGCTTCCTGAGATTATTCCGGGAGAATGCCTTAATTTCCTGGTTAAGGGAGTGCATTACATGAGCGGCGACTGGGAACAAGTACAAGCAAATCCAGCCAGCACTGAGAAGGGCTGAACTGCTCGTCCCTTAGTGCTCAGGTGACAATACATACAGCCGCAGGGGTGCACTCCGCTCCAGGTGACAGTAGTAGCAAAATGCCGAGAGACAGTGAACTCTAGCTCCGTTCGTCCCAGCGCTGCAATGTAAGACGAAGTATGATTGGCCGTTGAGAAACGGGCGCCGATTGGATGCTGTTTCTTCTTCCGGTCGACGGAAAATCTGCGTTATCCTTACAGGCTCAGGGAATCTGCTAAGAGTCTTCTTCCTGTTGCTGTTTAGATCCAGCTTTATTGTTTGCGCAGAGTGGTAAACTATGACTTAATTGAAGAGAGAGCTGATATTTCCTCGCTCTTTAAAAGCAGCGATTTCTTAGATATGTTCGATTGGTGTCACTAGTGGTATGACTGTGCACGACACGGGCTGACCTGGGTATGACCTGGGTGGGTATGGCTCTTGCTTTAATAAGGCGGAGGAGTCCCAGTGCAAACCTTCTGAGTTCGCAGAGCCTTTCCTGCCCGCCTGTTTTTCGGCTAATCCGGAGGGCTACAGCACACGTTAAAAGTTCTTTCTCCCTGCTTCTGTCCTGCACACTTTCTTTTTCTGCTGTTACTGCCGAGAGGAACTTACTGGACGAAACTGTTGTGTGTATTTGTGAGGCAACAACTTAAAATCTTCTTTTTAATTCTAAATTCTTTCTTTAATTCTAATTTCTTCTTTTTAATTTCTAAATTGTTTCTATATGCAGATTGGCAAGAGCTTGAAACATGTATTTTCTGACTTCCCTCCTACGTTCTCACCATCAGCAACACTGCTGAAGAAGCCTATGCAATAAATATGCACTCGGTTTATAGGAAGCATTTGCAGCAAGTCCCCTTCAGAGTTTCAGAAAATTGGACGTATAAACATCCACACTTACAAAACAGATCAATGATAGAATGATGACTCTGATTACAAAAGGATGATTTGTTTTGCAAAAGAAATCACAAGATTACCTTAAATAGGAATTTTCCTTACACCACTAAAATGCAATTTTAAGTGGACCTTGAGGGTAGTATGCTAAGCAAAATAAGTCAAATGGAGAAAGCCAAATACACTACGATTTCATTCGTATGCGGAGGATAAAACAACAACAAACAAGCTCGTAGAGAATAGACTGATGGTTACCAAAGGGAAGGCAGTAAGAGAGAAGGGCGAAAGAGGTAAAGGGGCACATTTGTAGGTGATGGATGGCAACTAGACTTTTGGTGGTGAATATGATGTAGTCTATATAGAAGTCGAAATATAATGATGTACACTTGAAATTCATATAAGGTTATAAACCAGTTACCTCAATAAAAAAAATTTCTTTTTAAATTTAAATGGACTTAGACACAATGCATGAACACATGTATAAAGTGAAGTTGTACTTAATGAAAACTTATTCTCCAACACCACATTAAAATTGTTGTTGTTGAAATTTTCTGATGTAAAATTTAAAAAACCAAATTTCTCCCTGTTGAAAAGAGTGAGATGTCAGCCCAGACTATCAACAGGGTGCTCTAAAATGAAGAGTTGAACAAATTATTTGCACCAAACAATCACAGGTTCATCAAAAACAACTCTAACCACAAATTATTCCATATATTTATCATAAAATGATCAAAAAAATAATGACCAACCATTGAGCACTTACTACATGCTAGGTACTGTGTTTATAAGCAGTTTTTAATTTCTCAGTGTTATCCATCAAATGCTTAATGATGCTTTACACATTTGATCTCACCATAAATCTGTTCTGTATGTAGTATTATGATCATCTACATTTTACCACTGAGGAAACTCAAGATGCAGAGATAGCAAATAACATACCCTGCATCTCCCAGCTCCTAAGATTATAACCAGAAATAAAACCTCGGTTTGTTTCAGTCCAATGCCTTAGCTCTTATTTACTATGGAACACTGCCCTGCTCCCAAAATAATTGTAGTTAACAAATATTTACTGAGCATCTACTATGTGCCAGGCACTGTTATAGTCACTGGGGATATAGCAGTGAATAAAAACAAAATCCTCTCTTTTATGGAGCTTATATCCAAGTGGAGGGAGAGGATAGACAGACAATAAATAAATATATAACCAGGTTAGGTCATGCTTTAAGTCCTAAAAGGAAAAAAGATAAGTGAAATAAGGGAAGAGAATGAAAGAGCAGAGTGCCATTTGCTATGGTTGGTGAGAAATGGCCCCTCTGATAAAGTGAAATTTGAGCAGAGACTTAAATAAAGTGCAGGAACCAGCCCTGTAGATATCTGGGGGAAGAGCTTTGCAGACAGAAGGAGTAGTAAGTGCTGAGACAGGAGCCAGCTGGTGGGAGGTAGGAGATGGGGAGGTTTAAGAAACTTCCAAGTGAATGTGGCTTTTGAGGGTGAGTGAAGGGAACAGTGGTAGGAGATGAGATCACAGAGAAATGATAAAGACTTTGGATTTTATTCTGAGTGAGATGGGAAGCCACTGGAGGGAAATGGCTAGAGAGGAGTGGTGGATCTTGTGTTGTGCTACCCAGGTCCCCCTTCAACCAATATCTGTTGTCTGAGAGTGCTGTTGGCTGACTTGGAACAGTCTCTTCAGGGACTGCCTCAGCTGTGGAGGGCTTCCTTGCCCGAGGTTGCATACTTCACAGGACAGACCACAGCCATGACTGATTGATGTGGGAGAACAAAGGCCTGGCCATCTTGGCCCAACTTGAAACAACTCTGAAGGGCCATTCTAGCTCTAAAGGCCAACATGTGGTCAGCCAAGCCTGTCACTGGGCCTGGTGACTTTTGACTTCCTCATCTGCCCAGTCCTGATCCTTCCCTGCCCTTCCACAGATGTCAATCCCAAGGACACTTCTTTTAAAAAGTTCTGCATGCTAAACTCTACCTCAGTCTGCTTCCAGGGAAACCCAATCTGTGATAAGTGACATGATATCATGTTTGCGCTGCAGAAGGATCTTTCTGGCTGCTGTGAGGAGAGGGGGTAAAACGGAAGCAGGGAGCTTTGTTAGGAGACTACTACAATGTTCCAGATGGAAGACGACAGTTGCTTGGGGTGGAATGACAGCAGAGGGGGAGGTAACACGTAGTTAGAGTCTAGACATATGAGAGCCAAGCCAAAATGATTTATTAGTAGTTTGATGTGGGGGATATTAGGAGAATTCCAAAGTTTTTTGGCCTAAGCAACTGAAGCATAGATTTGCCGTTTACCAAGAAAGGAATGATGTGGAATTGAAAAGTTCAGTTTATGACAGGTTAAGTTTAATATGCTTATTAGTCAACCAAATGGAGTTGTCAGGTGGGCAGCTGCACATGTGATTCTGGACTTTGTAGAAGAGATTTCCCCTTGAGACGTAAATTTTGGAGCAATCAGCTTGAAGATGCCATTTAAAGCCATGGGACTGAATGAGATGATCTAGTAGTGATGGTGGATAGAGAAGCCTGATGTATGCCCTCATTAAGGGGTGAGGAAAATGAGGAGGATCCAGCAAAGGAGACTAAGAAGGAGACAGCCAGAAGATAGGAGGCAAAGAAAAAGAGAGAGATCTGAGAGTATAGAAAATGTTTCAAGGAGGACAGTGTGATCAGCTGTGTCATATGCTGCTGATACTGCTGAGTAAGATGAAGACTGAGCACTAATACTGGATTTAAAGACCTCCTCAGCAAGAGCAGATGCTATGTCCCAGTGCTACACAAACATTATGTGATTCAATCCTCACGACAACCGAATGAGATGGGTAATTGCTACATTTTTAAAAGAGAAGGACATTTAATTTGGAACTTAAGGACCTAGCCTTTGGTTGCAGAGTTTGGATTTGTTTGTTAGACTCTAGTAACACGGATGGTTGAACACAGTTCTGTCTTACTCAAAAGCCCATGTTCTTTGTATCACATCATGCTATAGAGGATGGGTGGAGCTGTTGGTTCCACATTGATAGCTGCAGTCCCTGCTAATCATACTGTAGTGCTAGCATGCCTGCAGTAGCATTGGATACTAATACTACACTGATTCATTCTCTGGGTCTACCCAACTCAACCCTTCATTTTACAGAAGAAGGACCAAGGTCCAGAGAAGTAAACTGATTTGTTTAATGTCACATCACTCATGATGCCAGGCCTCTTGGCTCAATATTTAATGCTTGTTCTACTTCACTAGTTTTCCATGGTTTTCCAAAAAGTCCATTAAGGGCAAAACTCCTTTTCACATAGCTAGCCTGGATGCAGAGGGATTGGGAGAAGCACCAGTTTCTCAGGCCTGGGGTGCTGGCAGAAGAGAAATAAGAGGCAAAGGGTTGTGAGACCCAGGCGAGAGAGAGAGGGCAGCATTCCATCCATAAAGGAGGCGTTGCCTACACTAGAGCATGCTTGGCAAGGGATTCTCCTGAAAGAGGGGGCATATGCTTACAAGGACTAAGGGGCCCTGGGTCTGGGGAAAAGAGGAAAGTGTGAAGTGAGTGCATGCTGGAATATGTCCCTGTGCCCCGCCATATAATTTCTCTCTCCTAATAGAGTTGGAGGATCTATCCCAAGTGCTATACTAGGCATTTTCCAAGTATTATCTCTAATCCTCTCAAAAATCCCACTTTTAGATAAAGTAATTGAAATGCAAAGAGCTAGTAAGCAGTGGGTCTTGTGTTCAGTCTCAGGTCTCTTGGATCCCAAGGCCCACTTTCATCCCACTGCATTACACATTCTGACATATTATACAATAAAATCATCATGGGAACATGTAACCTTCATTAATTGAGATATGACTTATATGGGTAAAAACACTTATAAATAATCAAAAGTCTACTTTGTATTACAATTTTTGGCTTGAGTTGAAAGTGTCAATTCTGCACTTGACTGAGAACACGCAGACACAGCCTGAAATGAATACAGAGAAAAACCAAACTTCTCTCGTGATTATGGCATCACTCCCTGTAAGAGATTTTTAAAGACATTTTCAAAAAAATTAGTTCAATTAAAGCAAGTTTGAATGTGTATTTTCTTTATGAATACAATGCCTCATGTGAATTTGTTGCTGGAGCACTTTGATCATACAGCATTTTTGGCTTATATAAGCATTGTTATAGGGATAATACAAAAAGAAGCAATAAAAACAGAAGTAGAAATTTTCTACATTTCCTTCCAAATATTAATTATTTCC